AAAGTGCTTAGTGTGTTTAAGTGCTGTCACTAAAGTAGACTCTGGCATACGGAGAGTGTACAATTTTCTCTTAAGGAAAATTTTATTGTGCAACGATGTGGCCTCGTACAATTTGGTGAGATGGTCCCATATCTCCTTAGTTGTCTTCTTCTCCTTGATGTTTGACAATACTTCATCTGTTAATGCTAGATGAAAGTTTTCCATAGCATTCTCGTCCATCTCGATCCATTTGTTGTCATCTGTGAAATCTACCGGTCTTTCACTGATAGCTGCTAGACAACCGTCTTTCCTCAAAATGACATTCATCTTCAATTTTGACAATGGGAAATTTCTCCCATTGAACTTTTCAATATCAAATTTCGTTGCCATAGCTTCTATTACGGATAACTCCCACTATTTCACTATCGTGAATAGTTCTCTGGAACCTTCAAAGAATGAGTAATTCCTTCTTACTTTCTTATGTTGGAGGATCCACCTTTTAGTGGCAACCACAAAGATAATAAGTAGATATTACACACTTTAATCTGGCTCGGATACCAATTGTTGCGGAAGATGGCTATCGGATAGAGCAAAATCTCAACTGATAATTTGAGAAAATAAAAATAAAGATAAAGAAGATACAAATTTTACGTGGAAAACCCCTAAATAATATAGGGTAAAAACTACGGGCAATGGTAGAAGAATTTCACTATGAGAAAATAGGAATTACAACTTCTCTCTATCTACCAAGGAGAAAACAATAATAATTCTCTCTTGATAAAAAGGAGAAAACAACTCTCAAGAAACTCTCTAAACTCTCTAGTATTTGGAGAAAGCTAGAATGATTTGGGATGATTTTGAAACTAAATGAGTTAGGGTATTTGTAGTTGAAGCTTAAGGATTAATTTGTAAATACCCTAAATTACAATGACTAAAATTTAGGATTTTACCATTTTTTCCAACAAAATCTGCACCTTTCGGTGCCCCTTTTTTTTAATTCATTTTTCTTCTTATGTTTTCTCATGCACTCTCGGTGCATGTGCCTCAATTTTCAACACAGGTATGGATTTTGTTAATGCCTGTCTTGATTTTGACATGTGATTGCTTATACAGCAAGGCTTTACAAAATTTCTATAAATAACTGTGGCAATTTGATTACATTAGGACCAACCTGGGAGGTTGGCATGTTCAAGCAGTTTATCATCTCTGGTTACCTACAAAAAGTATAGGATGAATACTGTCTCAAAATGTTTTTGATTGTTATGTTTCCTTTTTAACCCCTTTTAATTGCTTTTGTTGGCAGTATACCTGCATAAAATGCTGCAGTACCACCAGAGGCGGGGCTTTAACCTTGTGGTTTGCTGTTGTGTTTAAGTCTAAATACTCTAATTCTGCAAATTATTGTCATGTTGCTTTCTAATATTTTTCCTTAACACCTAGCAACTGTATTTGCTTCCATCCTTTCTTTCCTTCTACTTTTCCTGGTCTTCTATTTACATTTCAAACATTTCTTAACCAACAAAAGTAACATGCATACCATATAGATTACCTGCTTCTGCTTTTTCTGCTAATTTAGCCCTCATGCTGTTGGTCTTAAAATATCTTCTTGATGGGAAGCCTCCAGAATAGTACGGCGGGATTACTTAATGCAAATCAAGAAACTTCATGCTTATAGATCAATTCTATGCTTTAAGCATTGACTAAGAGTACTACAATTATAGAGATCTCTGCAATTATATTTGTTCTTAAATCATTGGTATTTGCTCAACATTCTATATTGACTGGTGGAGTGATTTCTTTTCCAATTTATAGTGTCATATAACTTATTATCTCGTTCATAATGCATACACTAATCTGGAATCCAAATTGCATTGGTAGGGAATTTCCTTCGTTGGCTTTGATTCATTTTTATCACCCTGAAACAGCTAGCATTCACCATGTATTCTACTTAACAGTGGCTTCTTTTCCGATTTGCAGAGTCTGTCACAGTTTAACCTTCCTATTGCAGTTCCAACTGTAAAATTATTGCCAACACCTGGTGGACGTGGAGCACTACCTGCATGTGTTTCTACAACAACTTTGATGAACAGAAAGGGTCTACAAAACAAAAATTGCAAGCCTGTAACAACTGAGGATGCTTTAGGTATGAATGGTACTGGTTCTACCAGTATAAGTGGTGCTGACTTGTATGATCCTGATCAACCCTTGTGGAATAACAATGGTCTGGAAGCATCGGCTGCACTCTCTGGACTACATTCACCTGAGATTGATGGAACAGAATTCTTACTAAATGAGGATATCTCTGATTATCATCATGGCAGTTTATGTGATGCTGTCATGGGTAGAACTGGTAGATCTAAGAAATAGAATAAATATTAAAGATAAAATTTGTCTCACATCCTTGGACTGTCTTGAGAATGAAACCAAGGGAGAACAAGCATATCCTAGCTCTCAAGGTAATTACAGTCAGGTTAAGCAGATTGGCTCCAAAGTTATGGATTCATCAATGAAGTCGCTGACTGATTGTTTGCGTAAGAGCAGAAAACCAACTACAAAGGCACAATGTACACTGTTTGTCAATGGGATTCCCCAGAAAAGCAACAAAAGAGAGGCTCTTCTTTCTCATTTTCTTAAGTTTGGAACGGTTATTGACATTCATATTCCGTTAAATAGTGAACGTGCCTTTGTACAGTTTTCAAGGAGGGAGGAGGCAGAACTTCTCTGAAGGCGCCTGATGCTGTAATGGGTAACCGGTTTATTAAGATGTGGTGGGCCAATCGAGATAACACTCCTCATGGTGGCATAAACAGTGGAAGTGGTGCATCGGTAACTCCACGTGGTCTAATACTTCTGTTATTCCAGCTCAGCCAGCTGCGAATAGAGGAAAAGATAATCTTCCACCTGTTCTTCAAAAGAGCAATGTTATCCATAGTGTTGATGTGACTTCTCTGAATTCCCCCAAGCCTAATAGCATTAATGGTCCCATGGTTCCAACTCCACCATGGAAAAAATTAGAGACTTTGGAGCAGATGAAAGAGGAATTACGCAAGAAGCAGGAAATGATGGAACAGAAGCGGAATGACTTTCGGCGCCAGTTAGACAAACTTGAGAAACAATTACTGGGAACTTAGTTTACTTTTATATACTATATTCCTAAATATCCAGTCTGAGTAATTTGATGTCTTAAGAATTGTTATGTATAGAAATCGGGTTTAGAAGTTGCATGTTCTCATAGTAGTTTTGAAATTAATTAGAATCCTGTAGTGAAGTGATGGGAAAAACTTCACTATTGTGCGTTGTCAAACATGCATGCCTTCAATTTTCCAATAGTTTGACTGCATATACACGCTGACACAAGTTGAGAAAGAAGGATGAAACAGAACGTTAGGTTTTTTAAAGTACGAATGTGATAGTATCCCATATTAAGGCAGGTTTAACATTTGTCTTTTTCAACCTCTTTGCAGTCTGGTGGGGTCAAAGGCGATATTGACCAAGCTGCCAAAAGGCAAAAGGTGGGCATTGCGGCAGATTCTGCCAAAGCTTCAACTCCAAGATCCTCTGAACCTGATGCTTCTGCTGCAACACCATGCTCTATGGGCATGATAGACAAGGACATGTCAACGGAGAATGTTCTGTCCCCCAGTCATAAATCAAAGCACCAGTCTTGTCTGTCAGCACCATTAGCACATCCATTTCCGATGAGTAAATACAATTTGGATAACAGGCCTACTGCCTTCAGAGTTATTTCACCATTGCCATCTGATTTTGCAAATGTGAGTTGCTCTCTCCCTCTCTTCATTTGAGAAATTGTATTAGCTCCATCTTTTGCGATGATGGGTTTTCCCACTATTCATCTTCTACTACATCTTGAAAGTGGAAAGATGCAATAAGTACATTGGCCAAACAATGGGCCTTCTTAGCTCTGTTGATTGAAGTTAGGTGTAAACACATGAGTATGTGCGTAATACGAATATATTCATTTTCCCAAAGATTTCCATGTATTTTGGACATTGGAGAATCCTAGGCGGATTATGCTTCAAGAAAGGTGAAGTGTGGTAACAAAATAACTACTTAGACGTCTAGTTATTTGCAATGATGAGGTTTTCATTTAATAGCATAGAACACGATTGGCTTGTATGTATGTCCTTTGTGGTCAATGAAAGGCAACTGAAATCTGTTTTGTCAATATTACGTTGATGTTTTGAAGGAGCACTTTCCACAATATGATGATCTTATCTCTGTGGAGCTGGAAGATATGGAAAATGATGATGATGGTATCGTATCCGAGACATTGAACAATTGCTCGGCTCGTATAACTTACAGCACACGCCTCTCAGCAGAAAGGGCATTTGTAAATGGAAATGCTGGCAAGGCAACAATTTGCAGTTTTCATGGCTGATCTAGCAATTCAAGCATGATCCTAGCAGCAAAAAAAATCTCCTCTTCCGCACCAAAGGAGCCTTTAGAAGCTGACGAAGACCAGACAGAAGAAAACTTTGCATGCAGCTTCTCCCAGGAAGTTGCTTCTTACAGAAGGGAATCTGAGAATTCCGATGTAAAGAGTTTTGCCGAGCATACGGATTTGGCTGAAGTTTCAGAGCATAGACCATCTCCAACATCTAGTGTGACTGTGTGAAAGAGCCACCTAAAAGCAAGGAATCTTAAAGATAGGGGACTGTTTTGGATTTGTACATTGAGGTAAAACATTCATTCTGTTTGAAGTTATTGCCACCTCAAGGTAACAGTTCACTTGTGTGGCAAATTGTGTTGTCTTTTGAGATTAATTTTTTGGACTCAAAGGGCCATAAGTTTAAACCCTAAAAGTAAATCTACACGAACCAATGTAATTAATTTTCGGGTTCAACGAATCTTTCTTGATAGGTAAAGAAGTTACAAGATGAAATGAGATCAATACATGCAAAATTATTAGCAACAATCTGATTATTGCAGTTGAAAACCAAGCTGCTTATGTTTAACCAGAGGTAAACATGTTCTTACGATGCCAAAAAGTCAACCTGATATCACACATTGGTGATTGCAAAGGCATCGCCTTTGCAGAGTTGAAAAATGCCAGCATTAAAAAGATGCCCTTTAACTCCATTCTTCAGCAAGTTATTGGTAATTGACTGCCGTGCTATCTCTTCATAGATCTCGATGGCTTTCTGGTATCTGAAGAAATTCAAAAGCAGGGATATAAAATTTTCTCAAATTTTACATGGGGTGCTGTATTTATCTGAGCAAACAGAACAAAATCATAGCAAGAACATCTATTAGAAGTGAATATGCTCACTGTTCTATCTGAGCAGCAAATTGTGCAACTTTCTGCGTGCACTGATTGGCTGAAGTAGATACTTCTTCACTTTGGAAGAAATCTGCAGCCTTTTCGTAATAATCCATGGCCTGTTCAATGTTTTGTTCAGATTCATATAATTCGGCAATTTCCTGCACATCAAAGAGGCATTCACGTCTATCAATAACCATAAGCGACATCATGATACAAAGTTGTGGACACCAAGGGAAATCAGTAACAGTACTATGAAAAAACATGAGTGCCTTGAAGGTTTAACATTACTGGTAACAATGTGAGAAAAGAATGAGGAAACAATACAAATCTGTCACTTCAATTTTCTTGAAGTATCCATGTCCAACATCCGTATCAGACACATGTACGGACAAGGACATGGGGCATGTACATGACCCTCCAAATATATGAAAAGACTTAAAAAAAATGAAATTACACATCTATATCCTAACACATACACTAACATGGATGGGGCATGGGCATGACCCTCCAAATATATGAAAAGACTTAAAAAAAAAATTGAAATTACACATCTATATCCTAATACATACACTAACATGGATAAGAATTCAACAAGAACAAAAGAAAAGAAAATGAAAAGTACGTACTATAAAATTATTCTTGCATATGAATGAAGAAACAATACCTTATAATACCTTGCGGCCATATTGAGCCTTCCAATATCACAAAACATGTTCACTGCCTGCTGCAAGCACGATATAGCCTCTGCATAGAAACACAATTTAGTAATGGGCAACGATTTTCACTAAGTGAAACTATGTACAAATCACTTACCCTTCGGTGATGTTTTCTTATAGCAATGAGCAGCACTAACATACGCTTGAGCAGCTTCATGCTGGCTTTCTAACTACAGATAGGGGGAAACTAAAAATTTTGAAATCTTGATAAGTTTAATGAGAATTTTTAAAAATTTTGGGAAGAGTTTAATCAAAAACATTAAAAAAAATTAAAATTTATTATGATTTTTTAAAAAATTTGAGGGGCATGACACCACTGGTCCGTCTTGCCTTTTGTCATGTTCATAATTATGTTCATAGGATCCAAAAATTTAATAATAGGGGTCTAAAATTTTATTTTCTTCTATTAAAAATAATGATATGCAATTTTTTTTCTTAACACATTAAACTAAATTTAATCATATTATCAAAATAATGTGATGCACTTGGGGCTTAGTGCATCAGCCCTGATTACGATTTATATGGTTGGAGTTTAAGAAGAAATTAACATTTTCCTTTTACATTTTTATTTATAAATCGAAGAAAAATGGTGAAATTACACCCCCTCTTTATTAAGCTTCTTCGACTTTACAGTTTGAACTTCAAAATTCATTCTATATTTAATTTAGTCTTTATTTTCATTAATATATAAAATGTAAAAAAGGGAAAAAGTGAATACGTTAAACAACTTATAAATGAGTCAACATACGAACTTATAAACAAGTCAATAAACGAGCTTGTTCGTGAAAATAAATTTAACTGAACACACCTCTGATCGTGCTCGTTCATTTCTTGACTCATTTGATTATGCCGTGGGCAATGGGGGCAGTGCATTTGGATGTGTAGGTACTTTTAAACGTGTATTCCAGGTGCATGGATTCTATCTTATGGATTTGTCAATGGTTGTGGGTTTCAGCTTAGCCTTGGGGTCAATTATTTCATGATTTGGTTAGGCAACGGGGGATGTTCGCTGTTTTGTCTGTTTCCTTTTGTGTTTTTGTTCTGGCTGTTTTGTTGATTTCGATTACGTTTCAAATAGTGTCCACTGTCAAGTGGTTCTTTCAATACTAATGGATTGATTGTCGTGCCAAAAGAAAGTCCAAATAACAGAACAGAGAAGGTGTAGAGGGAGATGTATACCTGTTTCCGAGACGGGAATGGAGTTGGATAATCCGATGCCCTTCAGAATCCCGTAAAAGCCCCTCTCTTAAGGTCAGGTCGTAGATAATGAATCCATCTCAACCTGCAACTTTTTCCACATCTCAACAGCCCTACAAATCACAGTACCAAACAAATCCTGAAACCTTTTCTAAACCATCATATATATTTCAACTCAGTAAAGCATTTAATTACCAGCAAGCTTGGGAACCTTTCGCCAACTTCCATGGTCCATCGTTGAATATAAAGTTCATCAGCTTACGATCTTCTTCCATGGTCCATTGCCCTCGCTTTATTCCAACTTCATCACAGCAGGGTTGTCTTCCCATTTTGAAAAAAAAAGCAATCAAAATCTTCAAAATCTCTCCAAGTTTCGATCAAAGTGAAGGATTTGTATGAGACAAGGGAGGTGGTGCTGGTTATATATGGAAGAACCAAGTGTTGGTCGTCGTGGTTGACATATTATCATATTCCTGCTGCAACTAAAGTCTATCTTCCTATAATTGAACTATAATTTACGTGCAATTTTATTTGTTTTTGCTTTGAGGGCCAATGCTGGCTGGCTTGTTGGGGTTCGAGGGATACAATAATAAGCTATAAGTTTATGGATCAACGTAAACTTTTATATCAATGGTATGATTTTTTAAAAGGTTATGTATCTAATGAATGTATTTAATTATTATGAGACTTATATCACAAATAAGCACATAATGTATATCATCTTTTTCATACCTAAAATAGTTTTTGATCAAAATAAGTATCTAAAGTTATTTTTTTAGTTAAAATAGGCACTTAAAGTATTTTATGTCAAAATATGCATCTAAACTATTTAAACTTTTTCATCCAAGTTCTAAAAAAAGTTGACATGTGACATTAATTAAAGAATACTTTAGGTACTCAGATGAAAAAAATTGAATACTATAGGTACCTATTTTGACAAAAAAAATGATTTTAGATACTTATTTTGACCCAAAAAAACTTTAAGTACTTAAATAAAAAAGAAAATATTCTTTTGGTACTTATCTGTTATATAAGCCTTATTATTATTGAAGTTATTTGAAGATATATGTGTTAAAAATCAGAGCAATTAGTGGACTTCAGAAAATCTATCATATGATCCTTGAAATTTTAAAAAAGGCATAATGGTATGTGAGGCTTTAAAATCTTTTAAAGGAAACCAATATGATTCAAGCATGAGGATGCTGTACTTCACAATAATCAAACTTTATAGCTCTTTCTTGGTCTTTAAGGTTCCATCCATGAAAATGATTATTGGACTAATTGGGTTTACCTTTTTGCATAATTAAGTTTTGTGAATTTCAGTTGCTTTCAAATGGTAGAAATAGACTATCAAACAGTGGCTGAAGTAGATAATATTATTAAGGTGTTCCCATCAAATCTTGAGTAGAATAAAAGCATCCCAAGTCTCAACTTTAAACTGCCATTTAGGTCAAGTTGTTAATGGGACATCTGTTTCAACACGTTTCGAATACGATAACAAGTCTGCCATTGCCAAAGCTTCCTTCTAAAGCGAGAAACTTCGAACTGTAAAACATATATGGAAAACACATAGGTGGTTCAGGCAGTCCATGTTACCCGAGCTCTTCATTTTTCTTAAAATACCATTGTCGGACGCTCACCCAAAGTCCGGTAACCAAGTGGTCCGTTGAATAAAAATATGCACGAGAAATAGTACATTCTAATTCCAGCTCACTAATCTATTTTCAGTTATCTTACAGAAAGAACAAAACAGGACATGGTATAAACAAGCTAGATGATGGATTCATAAGAAAGAACAAATGCAATATATTATCCCCATCTTGTGTATGGCAAATTTGCATCACTCTCTTTTTTCGACCGAAAACGAAAATGATGCTTGGCCGCAAGTTTTTTTTCTCTACATTTAAAACCATTCACTTAATACGAGAACTCGTGACCTCGCAATGAGATGTACTTCTTAATCCAGATGGCGATATCCTCGGCACAGGCCTGAGCCTGAGGGGTGTTTAGAAGCATGTCTAGTGTTGCAAATTCGTGAACCGCATCCTTGTACTCAAGAACAGGTGCATCGACATTTACCTTCCGTAGCGTCTCCGAGTAAGCAATAGCTCGGTCTCTCATCCAGTCATGTTCTGCTACGACTGTCAGCGTTGGGGGTATGAGCTTCAAAGGGGGGGTCCTGTCTGGGATGAGTGGATTGGCAGCTGGGTGGTCGAGGCTGAACTCTTCCTCGGGAAGAAAGAGTTTCCATGCAAGTAAGCACATTGCCTTGTCATAGAAGTAGGAGTTTGCCAAATTTATTTCGGACCGTGTGGGAACATTTCCGACGAAGAATGGGTACATTAGGACCTGTGCTACAACCTTGACAGGATCCAGAAGCCCTCCAGCCTCGACAGCTTTGCGTGCCACATAATCCGCAATGTTTCCTCCACAACTTACTCCAAGTAGTACACATCTGCTTCAACAATATCACAGTTAAAGATTAGGCAGAATAGCAATATATTGCATAGTTGTGGAACACAGAACAACAACTTCCGAAGCCTCTAAACCACCCGGAAAGAGCAATCAGATTCTACAGACTTTTAGATATCAAAGACTTATCGACTAGTTGTAGAATTAACATGAGCTTCAACAGCCTAATCACAAGTTATCCAAAGTAAATTACTTTCGAAAGTTTAACAATCGAACCTCATTTACAATTAAGCATTTAACTTACATATATCTAACCAAATCATGCAAATTCAAGCCTACAACAAATCACATCTCCCTAATCAAGAAATATTGAAACTACACCAATATCATTGTAATTTGTAACTATAAAACCAATTAAGATAAACTTTACCAAACTTCATCTACCGATAATGATCGAATTTAAGTTTATAGAGTCAAACTTCTGTGATCCGATTGCATTTTTCAACACTTATCCGTAACCAAATTTATGAATAAACACAGCAAATCTAACAAAAACAACAATCACAGCATCCCATTCATGCCAAGCACAAAGTACACTAAACCTATGTTCGGCAAACTCAGAGATAAGTTGGATACGGATACCGAATTCATTAAGGTAAACAATGAGAATCAAGATAAAAACTTTATATGAGCAAAAAAATTGGAATAAAAACCTTGATGGATCTCCATGAGCAGCCAACCATGGCTCAACCATGGACGCCCCAAAAGCATCCACAATATGCCTTTGAACTTGAGCCTTAGTAAACTCTGCTCCAACCCCAAGTGCCCCACTCCCCATAGACTTACTACACTCAGCTAAATTCGCTTGCTTCGCTAACCAATGCAACACCTTCAATCCATCCTCGAAAGCCGCCGGATACTTATTCTCCGGCGCCAACCTATAACCGACCGCCACAACTATAACATCACACAATTTTGCTATCCTCCGACAAAAAACATCGTTAGCAACTGATTCATTGCTCCCACTCACCCAACCGCCACCGTGAAACTGTAATATTATCGGCAATCTTCGACTATTTTGAGGTAATGGCGAATACCCTCGATAGACATTACTGTCGGATCTAAAACTCAACCCTTCAAAACTGCACCTTCTCGGATCATTAATTGGGGCACCGATATAAGGATAACTATTCCTCCGGTCATCCCGTTGGAACGACCTTGGCTTGGATTTCGGTTCGGGTTGCTCGGGAGGGGAAAGTGACGATTCAGGGAGGAAGATCCGAACCGAAAGGGCTGTGGCAGTAGGGTCGATGTGGATATCCTTAGAGGCTATACCGTCGGTGAAAGAAGGGTTGGCGGCGGAAACGGATTCTTCGGGTCGGGTAGTGACACCGTACGGATTGGATGATTCGTCGACATGGGTTTGGATCCGATTCTGTAAACGATGCTTGAAGAGGAACTTGAAGAATACACTGTATAATTTTACGGCTATGCTTGGCATTTCCCCCTTAAATATATGCTTCCTCGATGAATAAAGAATTCTGGGTTTCGTTTGAAACAGGAAATAAAGCTTAAAACAATCTTCTTTTCTAAAAGCCTCTTGAGCTATGGAGCCTGGGTTTTTTATGGTTGAGGTAAATCCATTGTTTTTCTTGGAGAGGGGGAGAATGAAACTTGAAATGAAAAATTAAGGAGTGGAATTTCGCATAGGAAATTGGGTAATTAGGGTTTTTAAAAACTGGGAATTGTTCGGTTATTCAAATGATTTAATCGTTGATTTGGGTTTTCAGTGCAAATCAAAGAAGAGAACAAAAAAGAAGAAACTTTGAAGAAAAGGGGTTAACAGTAACCCCTTACATGCAAGTAACCAGCAACTTTATTCAGCTGTTATAATCTATGATTATTTTAGTGAAATGAAAATTTTAAATCATTAGTTGTACTTAAATGACATTACAGGCCTTGGAATTGGAGGGTACAGCAGTTGGAGGGACATTGATTTCTGTAATTTGCTTGTAAATTGTATATTACATTTGGAATTTCAAAAACATGACAGGGAGGGATTCCTCCAGCATTTTAGAATTTATTTTTTCTGCTTATTTTTCAATTTATTTATGATTGAAGCTTTGAAATCTGACAGCCTTAATGAATATATTAATTACACAAATAAACATAAGAATTATTTTACTAGACAACTTGAAGACAAGTTCAAGAATCAATGGCATGTCCCCAAAAAACAAACATTTTTTTCTTGGATTATATTACAATTTCAAATTTAGTACTATTTCACTACAATGTTAAATAAGTACACTCTAAATTCGAACCCAAACTTTTTTAAAAAATTATGTTTTTTATAGAAAAGATTTAGGTCGGGTCAAAAACCGTCGGGTTTGAGTATTTTGGTTATCCTTACTCATATAAGCAGTCATCATTGTGAAGAAGGCATAAGAGCAAATTGATATAAATAAGTGGAGAAAAAGTTTAAAGAATTTGAACGGGAAAGATGTTACTATACAAACCAAGCTCATTTGTTTTCATTGTCCCCCAATCCATTATATATACAAATTTTATGCATATATGAGCAAATGAGGCTTTAGATTTACCCCCAACATAAAAAGCATCAACCTTGATGAATCCATCAAAATCCAATCAAACCTAATTTTTCAGGTGGTGGAACACTTGGTATGATGGAAAACTCGGACTCATTGTCCCCAATCCCCGACCCACGGTTTGCATACCGATCTCAGCCGCTGGAATGGCGACCTTTTTTCTGTCCTAGCAAGATGGCTTGCGAGCAATCGCGTTATGGAAGACAAGCACGGTTTCGTTACTTGCAGCATTCATAGCAGCAACCTCTTCTAATCGTTTCCATGTGGCTTTTCGTTTCGATTTAACCTCGTTTTCTCGTGCTTCGTCTTCTTCAAACTTACGCAAGCACTCCTCAAAGAGCTTGGGGTCGGTGTCGGAGAAAATCTTGCGGACGTTTAGTGTCAAGCTCTGCACTGCCTGATTCCAATTGTTTCTAGCATTCTTTTCCAACGAAGGGAAGATAATGGGAAGTAAAACGTTCCGGTTCTGTTTTATTAGGTTCACAATATGATCATTGTTCCATAAGAACAAAGCCCTCTCTGCCACCTGCAAACAAAGTTCAAGTTTCTAAAGATGAAATAGAAAGACTGCAAGAAATTAGCACATCATCTTCAAACTTTCAAAATGTTAGTTCCGAACACAAATTTAAATGTGTATTCACTAGTAGCAAAACCGACTCAGTGCAGTTTCACACCGTTACTCCTTATGTTACTATGACTCTTCATTTTTCTTCAATTTCTCGTGTCTGGTGTCCATGTTCGACACATACTCGGAAATATGCATGGGGTTTATGATCCTCCAGTGTCCCTCCAATTAGACCCGAATTCAAGTAAAATAGATAACCACTACTGAAATAACTATACAAGGATGACTTTAAAAACCAGATACTGCGGGGATACCCCGAGTGCTATAAAACAAACTGAAGACCGGAACCATCCTCTTGTCAGCGCATTGCAAACCAACTAAATTAGAAAGGGCATAGGTCATAAAAATTTCGAGCTATTCAAATAACGAACATACATTTTATCACAAACCATGAAACATCCTTTAAGCAACTGCAAGTTAAAACTATATAATAAATTTGACTACTCTTGCTTTGCCAAGGGGATTACATTGAGATAGAAAAGAGTGAAACGTTGCAAGTAATGGACTGGATGAAATTCGTACCTGAAAATGCGAGCTACTCAAGCAACGGCCTATCTGGCGGAATAAGGGAACCATGCAGCATTGGAACTCGGCATGTTGTGTGGCTTCTAAAACTTCCTCCAGTTCACCCAAGAACATGACTTCTTTCGAGCTATTTATTATCGGCCAATACTTTAGCAAGCCCTGAACAACGGTATCAGCAAGCTTGCAGTCTTTCTCCACGAATTGAGTAATGCAATAAGACAACTGCTGATGGTACATGGGTATGCACTTTGGTTTGTGAAGTGGTATCAATGCACGGACAAGAAAGAGCTTATGCTCTTCTTTCAGTGGCAAAGCAAACCCGTTAATTATACTACCAAGTATTTCTAATAGCTCTGCGATTCCATTGTGTTTTTTGGTTTCAAAGATAAACCAGAAAAACACATTGTTGATTGCTTTCCTGAGGAATGGACGATGGACCATAAATTTCCCATAGATGCGATGCAACACGGTCTTCAGGTACTCCCTTTCTCTGGGGTCCTCTGAATCAAAAAGGTCTAACAACCTTAGAACAAAAGAGTGATCGATATATCGCTTGGCGAGTTTTGCATCCGTCTCAGGTGATGCCACAAACCTCAAAAGAAATTCGTAAACAACTTGCAAATGAGGCCATGCAGAATCCATTGAGGGCTCCTCCTCTTCCAAATCAAATGCTTCTAAAACCTTGTTCTCGCGCGGTGGAGAAGTAAGTGTTCTAAACAAATTTGCAGGCACCATCATTACAATTTCTAGCACAACAATCTCTGAAAACTTTCCATTAGCGGATGAAATATAATCCACAAGCTCCAACAAAGTTTGCCGCTTGATATCCTTCTCTTTGATGTTTTTCGTCGGGTCAGTGAAGTCAAACACGACGCAACACGTTCAGTTTCCTGATAAACAATTTCTGCTTCTCAGAACTCGGAACATCTCTAAAGCCAGGCAATGCCTCGAAGAAAGCAGCGAAAGTATTCCCATTCAACTTTGCATTCACCACTTGAGAAATCTTATTCCCTTGATTCAGCCCTGAACTTGGGTTTGCATACCGATTACTCGAACTGGTAGAAGAATTCGATGAGGAGGTAAAGGTTCCCCCATCACGATTGTCACTCGACTTAGATGGTTTCTGAGGTAGCCTATTAAGTATTTGTTTGATCATCCTGACTTTGAACAATAATCTCCTCTCACAAACGTAACAACTCGATACGAAAACGAAACCCTTCAAAGCAAATGCACCATCAAATACTAAACAAGTACACTAATAATCCGAATGCCATTGATGAATCAATCCACCAATAAATGTGCAACTCCATCCTCACTAAGATGAACCATTTTACTCAATGCCAACAGAGAAATTCCTTGTTTCTTTGAACAGCAACATATCTAAAACATAGAAAACCAGTCAAAGCTAAAGCACATCAACGAACTATATGACAAAATGCCCCAATCAGCAAAAAATCTCAAAAACCATCTTCTTTTATACACTTCAAAATGAAAGGAACAAGGAATATTCACCTGTTGTCGCCTTGAAACTAGTTTTCCTCAGCTTTTCAAAGATTAAAGAAAAGAAAAACATTGAGCCAGATCATCAAAAGATGAAGATCTGGGTTTGATCTTTAAAAACCCAATTAGCATTTTCCACCAAAATCAACCTACAAAATCATCAAAAATAACATAAGAAATAAAGACAGCTCTGGTCGATGATGATGGAATGAAGGTAAATATCATACACTCACCGGCACTCTTCTTTTTAGAGGGTAAAAAAGTAATGGAATTTAGGAAGAAACGTCACCGATCAACCTTTGGGTGATTTTGTGCGTGTCTTTTAAGGAAAGCAAATGTTCTAATTAATCCCATTTCTTCTTCTTTTTCAAAAAGATCAAATTTTCTAAACATGCCTGAAAATTTTTTGCTTTTTGATTTGCCCATGAAGATGGAACTCAATTGACTAAATCACCCTTTTACCTTTTGCAAGGAAACCCCGTCATTTATTTGCTTTGGGAGGGCTAAGAACGAGAAATGGAAAGTGTTTTCTTGAGGTCGTGTCTCTCACGCAACGATTAAGAGCAAGTGGTGGTTTTGAAGACTTGGGACAGATCCATTTCACAGCCTATTGCTTGTCATCCCTCTAAGCTTCATAGATTACCACATCATCATCTTCGGTTTTGCACGGTTTTCAGTTGTGGTCAGGAAAACCATTCTACGTGCGTGTTTTGGCGCGTGTAATAAAAATTTACATTTCTTAGCTGGAAAAAATATTTAAAATATTCTATATCAATTTAAACAATGATCATACTTCACAACAATGATCATATTTGAAATTGGGTTTATAAATTTTAGGGGAAAAAAAGCATAAGAACTCCTTGTATTTTTACAAAAAATTAATACCCTCGTATTATTTTTCTTTCAATTTAACTATCTAACTTAGAAAATAAACTCAATGTGGTCATTGACTAATATTTTTTCGCCGTTTACCGTTACAATGCTGATGTGGTAGTTCATGGTGTTGACATGACAGATTAATATGACAGATATGACATATTAGCTAAATTAGTAACTCAAACATGACATATGGACTGTCACATCAGTATCGTAAACACATCAACACTATGAACTAGCACATCATTACTGTGACGTCAGCACTATGGACACATCAGCATCATGAACTGGCACGCCATTGTTGTAACAATCAACAATTAAAAACGTTGGTCAAAGGGTCATATTAAGTTTATTTTTTGAGCTTGAAGATCACATCGAAAGAAAAAAATATTATGAAGACGACATTATTTTAAAAAACACGTGAACTTCTAATACATTTTTGCTAAATTTTAAAATACTATATATTGAATCTCATACCATCGATATTGTTTTATTTTGATTTTTTGTTAATATATCATTAAATAATTACTTTTTAGAGATAATGAAAATTGAACTTGTGATATTCTAAATTAATTTAATATGCTATTTAACGTCATAATAATTTTTTAAACTTAGTTCAATTTTCAATAATTTTGAAAATAAATTATTTTTAAACAATAGAGCTAACGACACATTAATAAAATGATAAAAAAAAATAACATTGATAGTTTGAAGACCGATGTAAAACGCCTTAAAAACTAATTTTAAATAGGATAGTGTTTAAAAATTAATATAGAATATTTGAAAATTTAAATACCAATTTAAATAAGGCTTAATTATAAAATAAGTGTCCAAACTATACCACTTTCACAAATAGGTACCTAAACTATTTTTTGAATAATTCAAATGTTTAACGTTATAAACGTTATCATTTTAGATGTTTGGGACGTAACAATCGTTAAATTTTGTCATTAAATGACACATGTTAATCTTTGGTAATTTTAATTTTTTTATTTAAAATAAAAAAAACTTAAAAATATAATTTTATTTAAATAATAAAACTTTTTGAAAATCTTTAAAAAAAATCCCAAACTTTGAAAACATTTATTCTAATATCTATAACCACGCCAACCAACCACGTTCGCCACTAATATCGTCAACGAACCTTCAGTCGACTGAACTATCACCGATGACACAACCACCTGATGGCACAGTCACCCGAAGCCACCCTAATCGATGATTTAAACCTGAAAAACTCTAAATCAAAATCACGAAATTAAAGCATCTTGATGACTCTAGTGACAACCACGACGGTATGGGTAAGGACAACTGACAATGAAGACAATAAGGACGGTGTCGACGACAGAGGCCTTGGCTGGTAAGAAAGGTTAGGGTTAAAGTCAATGTTAAGGATTTGAGATAATTAGGGATATACAGTTATCAGAAGTAGATTAATAAATGATTTTATGATAATACATATAAGCTCATTGTATGTTGCATTGAGAGTCATAGGGACATTTGGCATGCCATTTAGTGAGTACTTTTCAGTTATCAGTTCAACTTTAGTACATTCGTGTATCAATGTTCAGCACTGTTGGTGCTCAGGTTATGATTGCACTGAAGTGCATCATATCGCAGTTTCAGTTATGATTTGGCATCGTGTTGTGACTAGTGTGCACCTTAAACTCACGTACCTTATATTCACGTACAGATAAATATAAAAAGTTATGGAAAAATATGAAAATGAATATGTAAAAAATAGAGTTTTTTTTATAAATATAATATTTAAAATATATATAAAAATTGCCTAAGCATAACACGTGTCACTTAAATGAGATTTTTTTTAACGATCGTTATGTCTCAAGCACCTAAAATAATAACATTTGTAACGTTAGACACCTGAATGACTCAAAAAATAGTTTGGACAACTATCTGTGAAAAGTAATATAGTTTGTGTACTTATTTTATAATTAAGCCTTTAAATAAAAATCATAGTTTGACAACACCTTACACAATTATCTCTTAATTTTCTATTCAAACACCCAATCCTTTTATGCTAACTACTCCAATATTAGGCGCAACTTGAGTTGGAGCAAATAACCTAACACTTAAAACTCAATTTTCAATAGATGATTTATTACTATTGGTATTATTATAAAAGAAGCCAATGAAGAAATCGTTTTCTATCGCCAAGTGATGCCGTCATTAAATATATTCTAGGTGAAGTGACAATGAATTTAACACTAAAAATGGACTCTTTCAACGTCCAAGATAAGATCCTCCTTTGGTTTCAAAGTTGTAAAAGATAAGGCTTGTACTCGACAGGCTCAAGTGTATGTTTAGTTTAATACTTAATCCGGATTATTAATTAATAAGAAAAAGTTATTGTTTTTGTTTAAAATGAAATCTAAACTATAACCACCAAACTAAATTAAACACCATCTTCATTAATCACAATTAAAAAGCCGACGTCCATCACTTGGACACCAAACGTCTAGGCCAAAACGGTAGACTCCTTGAGAAACAAGGAAAGGTGAAATCCCCAAAAATATTACAATAATAAAAAGGATAAAATACACTATAGGTCATTGATTTTATCATAACGTTATGTGACTATTTCGTAACACTTTGATAAATTTAATAACTATTTTATAACTCTTAAAAATTTAATGACCAAGACGATCATTTGAACATGATGCAATGACCTTTCCTGTATTTTAATAGGAAAAAAAAAAGCAACATAAAGTCATTAATGAAGTCTGTCTACATCTTTCAGCACCCAATGAAAGAAAACAAAAACATAAGAAAAGAAAATGGTCAAAATATTATCCCATCTTAAACCACAACCACCCTAAAGAGATCAATTCTAAGCTAAGCTAAACGACTACGTACAACACACTCCTCCACAATCTGTTTCCCCATTCTCAGAACAAATCAATAAACCTCCTTCACAAGCAATGGACGTCACCTCTACAACCTTCACCGTAAATCAAACTACTTTGAGAAAAATATTGTGCATTACAAACACTACGAGGTTAAAGAATACTTTCGATTGTCTCTCGATTTATCCTCAAATTGTATCGAAATAACAGTAATCAAGAAACTTCAAAGGGGGATCTTACCACAGTATTCGTCAGTACTGAAGAATATATGAACATATTTAGATACACTCAGTATGAGTAGTAGTAATAATAATGATCAAATTAAAGATATTAACATAATGATTTCACTTTAGGTAAAACAAAAACTTCTTTTTTCGAGCTCGTGTTACCTTACAAAGTAATACCACGCAGTCTTCAAGATCTCAGTGGAGTTAGCTGCTCTCATGTCGATCTGTCCCGTAATGTACATACAAGTATCGTGTCAAGCAGTCTATCAATGGGAGAGTGCTGCACGACCCAAGCAACAATCAAAAGCAAAATCATCCAAACGGAATCGTCTAGGCTCCACCTCAATGTTCCATCAAGGCTGTTTCTGTTTCTGAAAGTGGCGCTGAACAAACAACCCCAGATCAATAACAATACCACAAGGTAGAAAACGAGAACAAATAGAACTCTGTTCATAAGCCAAAACCATGATAAAATTTGCATTTGCAGCACTAGATATTACATTGATTTGGTAAATGTGATAATCAGTATAGTGGATAAACAAATTAAAACATTAACACAAATCATCCTATTACTACAGCCCCTAAATGGTTGCCTTTTAATAGAAATAGTTTGCAAACAAACAAACATACCGAGCAAGTCCTCATAAGAATCGGCTAACAGGGATGTGTCCATCAGCAGAGGAGGAGAGAAGATCTGATTCTGTGTATCTTCCAAATTAAAAAGCAATCTTTGCCAATCAGAAGCTGCACAACTAGAAGCAGTGGGTGAGTGAAATCCATTTACTTGATCATAATTATTCCCAATACGACCATCATTCATATGGCTGTCGAGCAAGGAATTTTCTGTTTGAGTTGAAAATAATCTCTTAGTTCTTATCGAGCCCAATTTAGTTTCTGGTCCCACATGAGAATTATTAGTTGATGAAATAGGTACAAAGGAATGCTCATAACTTTCATCAGATTGCCTGACACGTGACAACTCTGAATTGCAGGATGGCAGTGACAATGCGGCTTGCCTAACAGATCTCTTTATGTTCTCAACATAAGAAGTATCACTATCTGCAACAAGAAATCAAGAACCAAATTCTTCAGGTAAAGGAGTTAAATTACTCTCTTTCAACTGATAGAAGGCGTTAAACCAGTAGCATGTAGAGAGACACGTGGAGCATGAAAAGCAACAAACCTTGCGGCGAGTTATCCAGGCGATCGTTTGATAGAGGCTGTTCCATAGAGCTCTTTTCAGACAAAGTGTCAATCTGGTTGGTCTGAGGGGCTAAGGTGTGTCGCTTTTGAATGCTTCCACCCTTTCCAGATGAATTTGGAGTTAAACTAAATAAATGTGGAAGCTTTAAAGCAGGAGGGCTGGCTGAATCCTTCTCAAGCTGAACAGCAGACATTTTTGAAGTTATGTCACCAACATCAGCAGAACTAATTTCCTGAATGAACCAGAAAAAACATCTTTAAAAATGAGTCATATGTTCTACCTACACAAATATTCATAAGTTTCAAAATATTATTCAATATTTGCATCACAAGAACAAGGAGTGAACATTTACCAAGGTCCTTCTACTGGTCTGAGCTTGAATAGGTGAAGTGGTTTGACCACGATGTTTGGCCATTGCAGGTAAGTTGGAGGAAATGCTATTTACTTTCTCCATGCACTCTGATATTGACTTCTGGATTGATGGAGCAACTTCTTCTAGTTGGTTAATAAGCACCTGCAATTGAAATGTATTACAAATTAATAGTAGTATCTTGTTACAACAAGAAAGTGTCGGAAAATCTTTTAGAGACATAAAAAACATAACAGCAATTTACAGTTTAGGAGGTACACATGTAAATGTACTTGTAAAAAACATGCATGTATGAAGCAAAGTAAAGAAGACAACAGAACTCGTATCCCCATTCATTCATCTCTCAGTCTTCAAATAATTTTAACTACAAACTTCTATAAGTTTCCAGATTCTCAGGGTTCTAGATCATCAAGGGTTCCACAAACTTTCATATCCCCAAGAGAATTTTTATTTCTGGGCTGTCAAGGTGTGTTTTCATCTCTGTGTCTACCAAATACAAAGCAAACAGTAACTTAAGAAAATCACATCTAGCAATATTTAGGGCTTTTGAAGACTTTAAAAAACCTACTTACTTGCCAAGTACTATTTATGTTTCTAAAACTTTCAGCCCAACAATTAATTAGGTAAAAAAACTACTCAATGAGGATAAGATACACAAGACATGTACACACTTGCCCCAGATGTGAATCAAATTAGGGAAAAAATGAAATTGCTCAAAACTATGCTATATTTTCAGTACCTAGAGTTAGTAAATAGCTACTTAATGTACAATAGCTATTTAGTACCTGAAAGCTAGCCAGGTGTTGCTGATGCTCAGTAAGAGTTGCAGCTAATGACTCAGCATGGCCACCTATCCTACCATCATGTGCACTTCGTAAAATATCAGGACCCTCCCCATCATTAGCTTTTGCCTGCAAAGCAATAACAATACTATATTATTAGTGCATACTAGCACCTTACTTCAACACTGATGATTCGCAACATGTAATCCATAATTGAATGGAACAATGAGGTATAATTTTAAAATCCAAAATTGCTTTTAAATAATTTAGAAACTGAAAACAGAAAATTGTTCTTTCTTACATAACATAAATATATCTTGTTAAATCTCCAAACGATGGAAAATATTACATGAAGGATATTCTTATAACTAATAAAGATTTTGCCTGCAGAAATAGAATGCAAGTATGCAACGATTATTCCAATGCCACAACTTCAAACTTAATGGAGAAAAATAAGTACAAGGTCAATAAAATTTACAATACCACAAATTAAACAAACATCATATTCATAATTAGTAATATATACACATTATGCTATTCAGAAGTTGACTAAATCACCGATGGACAAGTATTAGTACAAGCTAAGACATCTCACTTAACAGAAAAAGGAAAACAAATAAATAAAACAGCATACCAGCTGAAGTGACTGTTTATGAATACGCTGTAATGCATGTGTCCACCGTCTGATAATTTCGGCTACATCAACGGTCTGGTGGGCTCTTCCACTTCTATCATCTACTCGAGAAAGTGTCTCTTCATTGACTTGTGTGTGGCATCCATCATTCTGTTCATTGTTATCCAAATCACCAGACTGGACAGATAAGGTGTCCATATGAGGAACTTGAGAACTCTGATCCATAGCTGCAAGCAAAGATGATCCCGAGATGCGGTACCTGGAAAATAAAATTACGAAAAATGAAGTGTCATATGCACCATCTAAAAGGACCATCATGACATATGGTGGCAAATTACCTATGCTCCCGATGAGCAATCAAATCCTCAATAGGGCCTGAAGCAAGAATTTCATGCTGACCTGGACATATAGTTTGTTTAGGTTATGAAAACCAAAAAATATAATAAAGAGAAAAGTGTACACAACTGATTCATTTGCACTTACTTTTACGAGACAATATAGAGTCCCACAAGCAAGTGGCCTTCGAAACCAAATGAGAATTCTGACTTGAAGTGGAGACGAGATCATCCCATAGCTCTCCTTCCAGCTTTACCTTGTTTCTCAAGTCATGCAGTTTTTCCAGCTCTTGATGCAAATATGCCTAAGATCCAGGTTTTACAAGGCATTAGTTAGAATATATCAAGTCAAAATAATCCTTTAACAACAAGGTAAAAAGGAAAGAGGATTTTATTGATAATTTGAAATAAATGCTCAAAAGAGTTCAAAATGAGTGATATAAGTTTTCCAAGATATTAGTTAAATGTATTAAGTCAAAGTCATCCCTTAACCAAAAAGAAAAATGTATTAAGACTAAAAATTGTGTAGGACAGAAGTTGAAACTCTTGAAAACCTAGGTTATAAAAATCTCCAGTTTCTGAAGTCTATGAATTCAAGGGAAAATAATAAAGTTGTGGCTGTAAACCTATTTTACAGCTTAATTATAACCCTATGTTTTCAAGAGTTCCACTTCTATCTTACACATTTTCAGTCTTAATTCTATTGATTTACTGCCATTTTTTCCTAAATCACACCAATTACATTGATAATTTGACATATAAGGTCAGAAAGAGTTCAAATGAAAGATTATCTACTTACCTCCTCAGCACAAAGACCACGGAACTCTGCAGTCATTTCATGAGACAAGTTTGACAACATAGCCTGTCTCTGCACAGCTGTTTCTGCATTTTTCAGAAATCTCCTCCTTTCAAGTGCAATTCGAGCCTGTTTATAAGTATGTTACTTTACTGCTATGGAAGTCCAGAAAAGCAATTTTGAAACTCTCAATCAAATGAACTATAATATGAGGAAAAAACCCCTACAATTGTGCTTCATATGAATAGTGTAGCAGCATTACCTTTGTTACAGGAAGTAGTGTAGCAGCGTGAGAAAAAGCAACATCAGTCAATGGTGCAGGCAACGGGTTAGAAGCAACATCTGATGCAAAAGTCCGTCTATGAACCTCTCTCAACGCATGCAATGAAAGTTGCCACAAAAGTTCAACAAATCTAAAACCAAACACACAGGAAATTCTAATATCACCACGAATTATCGAAATTCAGCTACCAAGAAATCCTAGTTGTACACCAGAAAAATTCAGACAACTTTAAGTTACAGTAAAATTCAGTGCTATTGTAAAATATTTACTGTAATGAGCCTAGTGCAGATAGAACTAAGTTAAAGAGTCAAGCTAATTAATACACTTTTTCCATTGTGCTTAACTTTCTAGAATTTTCTCGGCAGCCAAACAGAAATTATCCAGCTAACCTTGGTCCACAGCAAGTAGCTAGCGAAGAAACCCTCGAATTACTCCTTGGTAGAGCTCCTTGTGCTTCCAGCTCACTGATTATCCCTTGCACAACCTAAATTACCAATAAATAAATAATAATTCAAACAAATAATAAGATGAAAACGAAAAGATGTAAATAAACAAAATCAACCTTCCGAAAATCACGAGATTGCGCTGAGTCGAAAATCGGCCAAACCCTATCGAAATCCTGAAAAGATCCAAAACCAAAACTACACTAAAAACAAATACAGACCATATCAAAAGTAAACAGAACCGGAAGCAATGAAAATTACCCTGGCGGATTGAGTGGGGCCACGAAGAGAAGAGAGGATGAAGTAAAGAAGCTGTTCGCCCAGTTTAGGGTTGGAGTGCCGGAAACGTCCGACCCGAGGGGTCCCATTGGATGATCCGAGACCGATTATCGACGGATCCAAACCTAAAAGCAAGCAATTCGTGTACATTGCGCTTTCGAGCTCTATATCTCTCTCCTTCTCTCTGTCCATTGTCATCTCACCCTTTCTTCTCTCGGAAAATCTGTTCTTTTGACAAACGAGAAAGTTTCAAAAATGTAAAATTACAAAAAGTTTCTAAGGGGTCAGATTTTAAATTTGAGAAAGTTTGAGGGCTTTTTTTAAAGTTTGGGATGGGACAGGGGGGAGGGATAAAGGTTGTCATGTTTTGCCGTTTGAAATTTTTTTGACAAGGAGAAAACGAAAGGGTTGACGCTAACATGCTCTGGTGAGTAAAAAAATAGTACTAGTAGAAATGAAGCTTACGTGTTGCTTTTGTGAAGCAATACATTGCGCTAAAGAGAGCAAATGAAACTTGTTGTCGCCTTGTCGGACAGGTTTGAAAATAAGGTAAATTACATCTTTAGTATCTTAACTATCAGTTTTGGTCCGTAGTATCTAGATGTTCAATTTTTCTTACCAAAATCATGCCTAACATTTAGTTTTTGTTTCATTTTAGTATCGTACCATTAAAAACTTAACGGACAAGCTCACCGACCATTGCTTCTACAGTCGTTGACCATTTCATTCATCGATCGGTGAAGCCCAAACCTTCCAACTCACACCTTTTCGACCCCTGAATGTGATTATGACCTCTTTTTCACATGAAAATGCCTTAATCTCCCTAAATCGATGATGGACTCTTTGAAATCTTCATTCTCCTATCTCCGTTGTCAGCCATCCGATAGGCTTGAAACTGAACTATGTTGGTCGACACATCATTCTCTCGTGGTCCACCATTCGACTTGGTCGTCCGTCCACCAGAGCTATGTCCCGTCAGCCCGTCCGTGAAGTTTTTAACGGTGGGGAAGTAAGATGAAACAAAAACTAAATGTTAGTCATGATTTTTAAAAAAATTAAAAGTTTAGGCACCATAACGGATCAAAACTAATAGTTTACGTACTAAATATGTAGTTTACCCTTGAAAAATATAAAAGGATTAATGACATGAATATTCCTCTACTTTACCCTTTTTCAAGTTTTTGGTATGGTATTTTTGTGTGTATGGATGAGTTTTTATGCTTGAGATCCCTTAATTGTTGATTTATCCATACATTTTATTCAATTCGTAAAAGAATCGACATATGACAATTTGGTTCCAGTATTTTTTTCGGAATGAAATTAGACGTTAAAGCCCAACTGTCAACTGTGAACATACAATGATTAAGCAAACCTCCTATGCAAGCAATGATAATGTACATCACAATGATAATGGACACCCCCAATCCCAAGCGCACAATAATCCAAAATAGACTCCTCAAATCTCAGCCTCTAACACCGAGCATATGCCAATAAACTTAGAGAACCCCTGCTGCCATTGACCTTCATGGTTTCTAATTACTCATCCTCATGCAGCAATTCCTGTATCACTTCGTCGTGCTCCATCCAAGTTAACCTTTTGAACCACCCCGAAGGAGGAGGTTGCCATCTACTGTTATTTGGTAGAACACGCTCCCTAACAACAGCCCGAGTAGCCCCCTTAGCCATTGCTCTCGTTGTAATTTCCAACCAATGCATGCTTCGTTCTACAACCGTTGGGTCATCTTCCAAAGAATTATCAAACGCAATTGCATTTCGGTTCAACCAAATACTCCACACCAAAGCCCCAAATATAGTATCCCAATCAGCTTTTTGTTCGATAAATTTTCTAGGGCTATAAAGGTTCATTGCTAACCAGTCTTTAAAGTTCATCTGAAGTTACTCATTCAAACAGCCTCGCTTCATCATCTCCCGCCGTATCGAACGAACTGACGGGGAAAGTCGTAAAGTGTGATTGATGTCTTCCACCGACTCCGCACAGAGAAGGCAACTACTATCCAAACTCAAGTGTCTCCTTTTTCGCTCCGCATTAGTCATCAACGTTCTCCACACACAAGCCATAAAAACATTTTCACCTTTTGCGGACCACGAAATTTTGCAATCGTACTCCACACAGCGTCCCCATCGCCTCCACACTGATGCACGCGTATGTTATAGGCAGACTTGACTGTGAAACATTGCTTGCCAACCAGCCAACTAAATCGGAACCAAACTGTTCTTGAGGATCTTTTTTGGCTGCAATTCGCAGTAGAATATTTGTGAGAAGAAGGTGCTCAAAACACTGCTAACGTCAATTCCCATGTTTGTCCGACATATCAGCTACCGTAGTCCGCTCTAGCCCTATCGTCCCGACCGAGCTAACATGATCAATTAAAGGTCCAACGTTTGTTGGAAAAAAAGCGTGAATCACATTGATGAATTCAGGAGGAAATATATGTTTAATATTTAAATTTAAACAATATTATTATCTATTTAAAAAATTTAGATATTAAAAAAGTTTTGGTTGAAGTAAAGTTCTCATGTTTAATATTTAAATATTATAATTTGTTTAAATTTAGATATTAAAAGAGTTTTGATTGGAGTAAAACTCTCATGTTTAATATTATAAAAAGATGTTATAATTTGATTAAATTTAAATATTAAAATAGTTTTGTTTAATATTATAAAAAGATGTTATAATTTGTTTAAATTTAAATATTAAAATAGTCGAAGGCAGAAAAAAATCTAAATTCAAGAATTATTCTTTTTCTCATTTTTTTCATATCTCATAATTCAATAAGTATTATTCTCTTGAAAAATATTTTCTCTCCCTAACAAATATTCCTATTATCCCTTAGTTTTTCCAGTGCTAGTCGAAGGTAAGGAAAGTTCGTGAGTTCTACTTTTATGCTACTGTAGCTGATCATCAAGCTATTGTATTCTGGAAGACAGACGACCAAAAGATCTCGAACAACAATGAGTAGCTGAAAATATGTCTTAAAAAAATTGTGCAGTGACATGACTCAATTGATTCCGATTACAAGATCAAATATAAAGAGTATTTTATTTCCTTTTGATTCTATTTTATTTATAAAGAATATTTTTTCTTTTTACTTTTCTCATGTTCTATTATTGTCTCGGATTGTTACTCTCCGATAACAATGTTGTCAAGCCAACTATCAAACCATAAATCCACCATTCTACCGTTTTCAATGCACCACGTGATATTTTGTTAAACGTTCGACCAAATGCATACCATACCTTTCCACAGTTTGGAACAAATAGAGTCGCGCCTTACTGCTGGTAAGCCTTCCTCACATTTGTATTTAGCCCGCAGACAGAATTTATGCATGTTAGCCAAAACATTAAAGGCTAACTTCATTAAAAATGCATCATTCTACTTTGTCAGATGTCGAGAGCCCAAACCTCTAGCTTTTTCGTGGTATAATCGTCAATCACATCGTATAGATCATTGGTTAATACGGACTTTGCAAGAGTAACTCGTCCAACAAAGGTGAGTTTCCACATTTTCCATCTGTTTAACCTGTCATAGACTATCTGTACCATATACTGATAAGATGTTGCAGTAACACACTCATGCAATGGTGGTACACCAAAATACTTCCCAAGATCGGACACCACCGTAGATCCCAAATTAAAATTGATCTGATCACACAAACACAACTCCACATTCTTTGAAAAGAATACCATAGATTTAGAGGTATTTACCTTTTGACATGATATCGCACAAAACCGTGAAAGCACAGAATGAATAATCCAGCCTTGTTCTTTACTTGCTTCAGTAAAAAGCACCACATCAACAGTAAATATTAGATGAGGAATTCCTGATACGAAATTCGACATCTTGAAAACGCCATATCGTCGGCAAACATTATTTATAAGGTATATGTGAATTTTTCAATACGTAAAGATAAAAGGAAATATATAGTAAACTAATCAACCAACGTTCAATGTTATACTGTATCATGTTTCCAAAGAGTTGGGTGCCGGTGGTCTAATGAAAATCCCAGCTTCGAACAGCTAGACCATACTATATTAGTCATTTTATCTATCATCTTGTTGTCTCTGCAAGACTTACGAGATAATTTGAAATTTCAATCATAACGAATAAATAAAATAACAATTACAATATTAAAATTTTTAAGACCATATATATATATATATAAATACACTTTAAAAAATAATAAAATAATTTAATATTGACATATATCTTTTAAAATTAATTTATTTAATTCTGAAATTTATAATTTTTGAAAAGATAATTGAAGATTTGTATGGAGTTTCATTCGGCGCCAATACCATTTCAGTTTCTCCTCAACCAATCAATCGGCACTTGCTATTTTTGGTGGTCCCTACTTTCCCCTTAAAACTTCCGTTAATCTTATATATATATAAACCCTTCTCTATTCATTTCATACGGTTTTCACCATTCACTCACTTGAGCTTCACTCTCCGCTCTCTCAACTTCTTTTATCGCTAACGTTTGCTTTTGTTTCTCCGTCATGGCTAAGATCAAGATCGGAATCAACGGTATTCTTTTTATTATAATTCTTTTAGTTTTTTTTAAAGAAATTATGATCTGATTTCTTTTTGTGTGCTCCGTGAATGATTTGGGAGGATCGGCCGTTTGGTTGCAAGAATGGCTCTCCAAAGCGACGATATTGAGCTTGTTGCTGTTAATGATCCTTTCATCACCATCGATTACATGGTCCGTTCACGTACATTGTACTTTCCTTCGTATTTTATTGCTTGCATGTTAGTAGATCGGTCCGTTGATTTAATTTTTGTGGAAAAGAACTGATCTGGTTTTTAGTAGAGAAAACTGATAATTTGAGGTTAATTTTTCCTGATCTGATTCTTACATTTTTCTTTCACATATTTTATCTGGAAATTATTTAAATTTCCATTGCTATAGATTACTCAAAGATAGATGTATTAGAGATTTACGATTAACTAGCTTAAAAGCACAGAATCTAATTTGGCCGTTGTTTTTAACTGTATGATTAGATTATTGATACTATTTAATGATCATATTGCACAGACCTATATGTTTAAGTACGACAGTGTTCATGGTCAATGGAAGCACCATGAACTTAAGGTGAAGGATTCAAAGACCCTGCTATTCGGTGAAAAGCCTGTCACTGTTTTCGGCGTCAGGTGGTTATATATCTTTCTTTTTAAAGGGATTTTGGAACTGAATCAAAGAGCACTGATGCATTTTTGGCATATAAACTATGT